AAAAAGTTCCCTTTTCTCTCAGTTTTTTATTATCACAGTTATCACATACTGAACTATCGCTATTTTACAACATGACTCCAGTCAAATCTTGCGCGAAATTGAGGGAAAGCAATCATTTTTGTCCGCGTTGATTGACTTCTACTACAAGTAACCACGACCGGGCAAAGTGAATTATAATTAGAAAACACAAATGCAATTAATATAGCCTGCTGAGCTTACATCTTAAGCATTTTAATTTATCACATCATGTTATTATAGTGGGCATCTTATAGGACCTCGCCGACAGCGACGCTGGAGGTTATCGTTGCGCTATCGTCAACCCGCACGGAAAGGGAAATGCTAACTTCAATTTGAAGCTCACGGGTACTTCCACCAAGCATCTTGCTAAAGCATCTTTCTTTTTGGTGCAATAGATTTAGCAGTTGATAGCCCTTCATCATATATCCTGCATCAGGCCGCCTGAAAATTAGAAAGATTTGGAGACTTTGAGTATCTTCAAAAACTCAAATACATAGCACTTCTAGGTTCTCTTAGGATGCGTAGCAAATATACAACGGCTGCACTGTCTTACGAGATATACTGCTGTGTAATGTTTACTTGATCGTACTTCCTACGTTTGCGCAAAATACGTGATTTTGAGATATCTTCTAAAGATACACTATTTGTAGAATTTTGTTTTGGGATATCATCTAGACCTCTTTCTTTTTACATATTGAAGTACCAAATATGTTATGCTTACTTATTCCATTTTAGGTTTCTCTTCTCCTACCTTCGTGGAGAAGCCGCAGATATCTTCGCGCGATGACGGGCAAGTGATGGTCATGGAATTCCGCGCCAAGTCAATTCTTAAACCGACTTTCGTCTGGCATAAGGTATCTTACCGTCTAAATTTCCGTCTTTTTAATTGTTTGTTTACTTGGGTTGTGTTTGTATACTAGCTCTTCACGAAGAGGACATAAAAGTAATTCAAGGGAGATGAAATCGTTGCACAGTCCGACAGAGTGAACATTGTTCTTAGGGAAGAAGCTAATCAAATTTACTACGCTGCCCTAGAGATTAAGGTAGGTGTTCTTCTCTGTGAATTAAAGGAGTATACATGCATTATTTTCAGGAGCCAACGAAAGAGAAGGATGCTGGTCAATTTATATGCACGGCTAAAAATGATTCGGGAAAACTCACCGCGACCTTTACTGTGAAGTTTGAGGGTTAGCCAATTACTCATTGTTATCTCTCCATTGTCGATAATAGTTTTGTATTATAGTACCACAAGGAGCACCCACCTTCACGCGAAAGCCCCAAATCCTCCAAGTCACATCTGATTCTGGGGATCCAGCTATAGTTTTTGACATTGGCTATCAAGCCGACCGAAATCCCGAGGTAATCTTGTCACTCAGGTGTGGTTTTTAGTTATATGTATTCTTTATTGTTCCAGGTGATGTGGATCAATCCCAAGGGCAAGAAAATGAAAGAATCTACACGAATCCGCTTCCTCACTACCCCTGATGGACCTAACAACACTTTCACTGCTAAGCTCGAACTCAAGGTTACCATCTAGTTATTAATACTCTTTCATGAACAAAAATGATTTGTTTTTTTTTTCTAGAATTACAAAGCAAAGGACTCCGGAACTTACACCTGCAATATCAAGAACGAGGCTGGAGAGGCAAATGTTGAACTAACGCTAAATATTGAAGGTGAGATATTACGAAATGGCAGAAAGGATGTCTACTTATTTTTTACTTTTTTTTGATAATCAGCTCATACAATATTGACAATCGACTCATACAATATTGACAATCCTCATTACAATACATTATTTAGGACCAATGGACGACGGAGGTGATGATGGAAGCGAAGCTTAAACGTATGAGCTCAAACACACACAGCTTAAGTTTTGTGGTGTCTTATTTTCCCGATTTCCCGATGTTTGAGATGACATATGGATGACATTCTCGAGAAAATGTATCTTAATAAATTCTTTATGGAAACAGCTTTGTGCTTACTGTGCTTCATAACTTTTTGAAGTTTCTTAGTAGAGCCAACTGGACGTAGTTTTTAGCTTGTTGATAATGGTTTTTACTTTGTTTTACGTTTAGAGTGATCTCTATCATCAAATGAAAATATTTCTTTATCGCTTCTCATACATACTTAGAAAACGAGATATCGATTTTTCTAAGACGCTTCCGCTATGCAAAGAAATTGTAACGATTCCAGAAAAATATGAAATTATTGCCGAAAAGCGAGAATCAGTTGTAGCTCAAAAATATTCGTCTTCAAAAGTTTTTGCAAAGGCGATTTTGATGTACCTTTTTCCATGAAGTGATGATCAAAGCTATTAAGCAAGGTAATGATTGAATATGAATGCTCTACTTCAGTGACAACAACAACCTCATAAGAGTCTTATTTTCTGGAATGACGGACGCATGTTCTGTCCATGCAACACCTGTCCAATATGTTTGATGTAATTGTCAGTAACAAGCCATCTTCATCAATTGATTGTCAATAAAACTGCCCTACCAGATGTCCATCTTACGAAGCGACTTAACACGCAAGCAATATCCAAGTCCATCAACATGAGAGATTTTTCTCGAGTATCTTTGCTATCACTGCTAATTTTTTTGTTCACTATTGAGTTTATGAAAGTTAGGGCATAC